CATCTAGGAGTGCTAATACCACGCACATGGAATCCCCCCCGGCTATGCACCATTTTTTAACCAAACTATGCACATACGCAGGTGCTTGAGATGAACCTCTGCCATGTGGGCTGGTTAGACCTTCCTGACTATAGTAATCAATTTTATAGGTACCTGGGGCATTCATATTTGAGTATTGATTTCTACAGGCTCTATGTATTGATACATAGGGATTGTAAATTGCTGACCGTTTTAGCTCACAGCATATCTACCAGATAGTCTGTTGTTTTTACTAAGGCAAACCATATCTGCGGAATGTGAAATTCCTACAATATTTCTGATCGCAAGCAACCTCGTCATCTTAGCTCAGGTTTAAGCTGGTGTGAGTGAGCTGCAGAGCAAGCTACCACCTCACTAGCTGGTTAAGTTAACTTTTTTGGTCTGTTGATTTTATGTGACTGTAAGCAGATAGTCCATATAGCAGATGGTAATCCTCCCAGCCAGTAAATTGGTGTTGTATTCAATGTTCCCTTATAGACCAGAAGAGAAAATAATCCTTAGCGTAAAACCATTTATTAAAATGAAAATATAAAAGCAAGTGCATTTACATTCAAATAATCCCAGTATTGCATGGAAACATCCAGACGACTTCTAGGTAAAGAAACAGTATCCAGTCTCCAAACCAATTTAGCACTGGTGACATCAGCAGACCCGCGGGGTCAGCTTTAAAAACTATGGGGTAAGTGTTTTCCCCCATAGTTCTCTTTAGGGTCACGGGAGGACATATACTAACCTCCTTCCGTGACCCAAAGCTCTGTATATAGCGAGCTCCACCCAGCTGGCTAAAGGACAGCTGGCTCTGCCTATCTAGAGGCAGAGCCAGCTGTGCCGGCCCGCTACTCCGTTCATTCCTCAAGTCAGCGCTGGAGGATCGGAGGTGTGTGTGTGTGTTCACTTCCCGATCAATAGAGCCAACCTGTGACAGCTTCTTTGTCACATGTCGACTCTAACTATGAGGATGAGTGGAAATCACTCCCCTCATAGTTCTCCTTTTTAAATATTCAAGGGTTTATTAAAGGAGAATTATGAGGCGAGTGATTGATTTTCACTCAGCCTCATAATCTGAGCCGACCTGTGACGGACGGGGCAGGGGGCGGCACAGCTGGCTCTGCCTCTGGATAGGCAGAGCCAGCTGTCAATCCCGCAGCTGGGTGGATCCAGACGGTATTGTCGGGATCCGTCCCGGCTGCGGCGGCTCAGTATACCGCGAGCTGTAGCTTGCGGTATACTGAACTTTGGGTCACGGGAGAACTCTAGTTTGTGTTCTCCTATGACCCTTAATGACCCTTAGGAGAACTATGAGGAAAGCCCTGACCCCATAGTTCTCCTTTTTTTTTTAAAAAACCACTGCAGGCAACCTAAAATATTTTGGTTTAACCATTATACAATATTGCTGAGTGAACAAAGCTTTTCTAGCTAGAAATACTTTACGCTTGACTACCTAATGAAAGATCTCATTCCCTTTCTGCCATGCTCCCTTAGAACACACTCTCATATACACACACGCAATTACATTTCTACTTGCACAAGTTCTGTTTCATATTGAATCCTATAGTGGCCCATCACTATAATGTAGAGCTTTCTGCATACTGTGCTGGAGCTCTGCTGTGAGGCAGTCAAGAACTCACCTGTTAATTATTTTCTCGGCTATAAAGCTTCAACATGTACATAGCTCTCCATAGGACTATTCCCCCTCAGTTCCTACTCCCAAATGTGCTTAGAGTCAAATATTTCTATCACAATCATAAACACACTCTACAGCCAAGTTCGGTGAGGTACGGATTAATCTACCAGTCTATCGTGAGAACATCCTTGAAGAAGCCCACATAAAACAATTCCAGGATGCTCAACCCCATGCAGATAGTGTTCCTTTTCAGATCAGAACCCAGAATCCCAAAAATGAAAGGAAGAGATGCCAATTGCTTAGCTACCTAGGATTCCAGTGCTGAGATTTGTTAATGGGGCTCCTTCATTCGATCACCAACCTTACCTGTGGCTTCAGGTCACACTTTGTACTCAAGTGTGTGCACATTAAGGTTTTTTTTTTCTTTTATTTAGCCAATAACTAATGGTGAATTCCCAGTTAATTTCAGGCTTATAAAATGTTGATTTGTTATAAGCTGACCACTTAGGTCTCCCAAAGGTGATTTTCAAAATGATTTGTAAGCCTCTGTGGTTGGTGGCAGAGAAGCATAAAGCCTTATAGGTGGCCAGCAACTCTTACATTTTCCTGCACAGGTCAGCTGGAGCTAAAACAAGTATGGATGCACCGCTATATTGGCCGCCGAAACATATCGGCCAAAAATGGCACTTTTGGCTAAATGCCGAAAGGGCCATTTTCCTGCCGATGCATCGGCGCATCCCTGCTTTCTTTCGTCCCCGTTGGGCGCTGCTCTGTGTCCCAGCGGGGAGGAGAGAAAGTGTGACAGTCGGCCGAGCGCTGCAGGAGGAGAGCGCTGTGAGCGGCTGGCGTCTCTCCTCCCAAACCGCTCGGCCTCCTATCGCAGTCCGACAGAGTGGTGTGTGGGGGCGGAGACAGGCCACGCTGTCACAGGAGGCTGAGCTCTCCTCCCTGCACCGGTCGCTGTGAGATGAGATTGAGTATATCTAACTGTTCTAAAGAAGTGGTAGAACCTCCTTTTTATATTCACAATTCTTTTATTTCTACAGATGTGTTAAAGAACTCTGTACTGAAAAAGAAAAATCTACTTTTGAAAAAGTTAAGTTTCCCAGATATTTTTGATCTAAAGCCATCTAGACTTTGATTCACTGACTTTGAACAAGAATGCAGATCAGGAGTTCTGATATTCTTCTGACTTCCCTAGTTGCATGCTTGTTCAAAGGGGTCAAAGACAGCCAGACCATTAACATTTTTAAAAGGTCAACAATGGCATCCTCCATATTTCTCCCAGTAAAGGTTTCCTTTATGGGAAAATGTATGGCTCTGGTACCCGATCTGCAGACCTGTGGTGCTTGCCATTCAGTCCTTTGACCCCAGCAGTCAGTTATAGTGGTGTTTGTTTTTTTTTTAAAAGAGGTTGCGATGGCAGTGATCTCTTGCAGTCTTGTGCAACATGTTTCCTACAGTAGGTTGCCCACCACAGCAGTTCTCTCGAGTAGCTCTGCAGTCTCTGGCTGTCTTCTGTAGCATTATATTTGGCCCCTTGGCAACATCAGGGTCCGCAGGTGAGACCGCCTATACCGTGTAAGTCAAAACCAACTGGTATATGGAACATCCTTACTACTTAGTAAAGCTTTTCTGCCTTGTTTTAACAAATGGGACTTCATCCAAGTGTACAGAGTAGAGGAGGACCACTGGCTAGAGTCAACAATGTACTGATGGCTACCATGAACTCCTGGTTTAAAGCAGTAAGCCAATGAAACCGATAGGAATTTAGAGTTCAGAAGCCAGCAGGGATGTCTTATGTATCAGGGAAGATAAGCTTCCATTGAAAATAACAGAAAAGGCCTAAGAAGGATAGATGTAGAGGTGATTTTTTTTTTTTACTGCTTTTCTCAAGATCTTGCCAGTCCTCTAACAGAAGATTGCTTAGCTGCATCAGAAAGGATTAAGAGTGAGAACAGATGTTTTCTTTGCTGTCACAAGTCTTTTGTTTGGATTTCAGGACATCATGTTCTTGTACGGAGACAGGACTATCTTTCAGCTCTTCGTGGGATTGCTACTGTGTATAGGAGTTCTGTAGAGCATGGTCTTTATATTTTATGTGCATGTTAGAGAAGATATTATTACCGTGTCGGGAATCCTTGTATAAGGTGCTTCTCTGCGTATAGTTATTGGGCAGACGAGGCAGTTTTTAGTATTGGGATTGGCCATGCGTTGTATGGATTTGCACAAACAATGAGATGCATGTTTCGGGCATTGTGTGTATTATGGCTTATAGAGTCATTGCAGGGCTACTTTAAGGGGTTTTCCAGCATCTGAGAAAAGAGGGAGCATTCCTTTTTACTATGTATTAACATCATGGCAAATGTCAGAAGCAAGATTGATTATGGTAGGCAGCAGCCATATTGTCTATAAATAAATGTGTTCTCTAATTCAGCTCAAATGTGGTTGGGTGGTGGTTGATTTTTTTTCAACCAAGCAGTATTCATTTAAAATAGAGCTCCTGTATGCAGGTCTACACCAGTCCTAAATTCTGTTACTTTGTGATGCACAAACCTCATAAAAACAACCCTTTCCTTGCACAAGCTAAATCCTCCATTTGTGTCTCACATGCTCCCCCTCCAAGACACTGCAGCTCACAGTGGAAGGCAGTTCTGCCAATCCAGAAAGTAAAGGGCATGGCAAGGTTTGGCCAGGAGTTGATGGACAAACTATAGGCTTGTGAATCCGCATTGACAATTCTGATAGCCACACCCCCTACAACATGGTTGCCACATCCCCTGCAACATTTTATCCCACTGTAAAAGGAAGCGAGCACAACCTACATGAGTGGCAACGCTGCTCTGAATTCAGGAGCGGTGCATCATTGTTGTCACATGCATCCTTTGAAGTCTAAATTTCCAACATGCATGCTTATTCTAGGTCATTGCCTCACTATGTATTGAAGCAGGGAGAGGTTGGCAGTCCCAGAGCCTACATCTGAATTTAGCAGTGGCAACTCAGTGTTATCCTCACCAGCCCACTTTAAGATTATATCTTATGAATATGGTGACTATACCGCACTACTAAATGTTTGGTCAGGAGCAGTGGTCTTGTTTGGGCAAATGTGGCTAAGCTAAGCACATGAGCTGAACATTTACAGGTGTACTAAGGCCATGCACCAATCCATGCAGACAGCACATACAGGTATCGTATTTGTATCTCTGGTTTTACCCAGCTAGTGCGCCACTGACCGATCGCTGGTGCATGTTTGTGATGATCGGTCACCTGTTACAATTTTTGTTGTGATTGTCTTTACTACAATAAATCTGATTTTTAACGCCTCTTCCCCCCACAGCTGACAACCGCAGTAAGAAACGCGTTAATCGTCGTCAGGACAAAAAGGATTTCTCTGTCTTTAAAGACCCGGATCACGAACTGAGAATTAAAATTTCCCCTCAACTGCTGCTTGCTGCCCACCGATTCTTATCCACAGGTGAAAACATACCTTGCGCTCATTGATTGTCTTCAATACTCTGTTCGAGCAAACCCGGTATGTGTTCGCTCACCTCCCAATCTACTGAGCCGACCTGTGACAGTCTCATTGTCACAGGTCGGCTAGAACTATGAGGTGAGTGAAAAGCACTCACCTCATAGTTCTCCTTTAAGCTGGCCGTACACCTATAGATTATCTGCAGAGTTTCTATGGTCAGATGGAAAAAGTGCAACAGATTCCTCCATTTACTCTCAACTGTGTGGATGGCGGAATCTCCCCCTGGGCCAAGCTTCAGTATCTTGCTAGTCGGCCCCGCTGGCTCTCAATATACCTGAAAAGTGCCTGCATCCAATCAGATTATTCACGTAGTTTGGCAGCCGGCGGGGCTGACTAGCAAGATACTGAAGCTTGGCCCAGTGGGAGATTCCTCCATCTGCACAGTTTAGCGTAGATGGAGGAATCTGTAGCACTTTTTCCCATTGGATCATAGAAAATCTGCAGAAAATCTATAGGTGTATGGCCAGCCATACAACTCATTGATTGCATCTTCCTCTGAAATATATCTTACACTCATTGATTGATTGCCTGCCTGCCTTACCTAACATACCTTACACTCATTGATTGTCTCCATTCCTCTGAAATATACCTTACACAAATTGAGTGTCTTCGTTACTCTGACATATACCTTACTCTCATTGCTTGCCTTCCTTCCTACCTCCCTAATATACCTTACTCTCATTGCTTGCCTTCCTTTCTTCCTCCCTAATATACCTTACTCTCATTGCTTGCCTTCCTTTCTACCTCCCTAATATACCTTACTCTCATTGCTTGCCTTCCTTTCTACCTCCCTAATATACCTTACTCTCATTGCTTGCCTTCCTTTCTACCTCCCTAATATACCTTACTCTCATTGATTGTCTCCATTCCTCTGAAATATACCTTACACAAATTGATTCTTTGTTACTCTGACATATACCTTACTTTCATTGCTTGCCTTCCTTCCTCCCTAATATACCTTACACTCATTGATTGTCTCCAGTCCTCTGAGAAATATACCTTACATTCCTTGACTGTCTCTCTGTTCCTCTCTATTATACCTTTACACTCATTCGTTGACTCTGTTCCTCTGTATTATACCTTACATTGTCTCCCTTCCTCTGTGGTAGGCTTATTCTTACTCCTGCATTGTGATTTTTCTGACCCCAGTCCCCGTCTCTTGTTGCAGAGGTACCATTGTTTGCATCTAATTTAATTTCAGAGAAGACCCTTTTGCGTCTTCTCAAATACCCAGATGTGGTGCAGGAGCTTCATTATGATGATGATAACAAGAAGGCAGCAGACCACTACCTGTACCAGTGCAACAAGATAGCCGACTACTTTATCCTCATCTTGCAGGTATGTTGAATAACAGAGCCTAGGTGAACTGGGATCACCCCATTGTTTGGGTATGGCTTTGGAATACAAGCTTATAAATTATCAGCTGAATTCTACATGGTGATGTAATATAGAGCACTGCAACTTAAATCTGTTCACTATCTTTGTTCAGGGGAAAGTTGAAGTAGAGGCTGGCAAGGAGAATATGAAATTTGAGTCTGGCGCCTTCTCCTATTACGGTGTCATGGCTTTGAGTGCACCTTCAGCAAATGGTGAGTATTTAAAAAAAAAAATATCTTTCTTTATATCTTTATAAATATCTACTTGTCAAGACAACACACACATGGATCCGTGGTATAAAAGTCTGCAAAAGACCAATTCTCCAGACAACTTTGTACTTTTATGCTCCCAGCGCATGAGAGAAAAGGAATGGAAGTTATTGATTTCTGTTGGCAATACAAACCATTCTTCTTTCTGGAGCTTTATTCCATGGCCCATTATTATTTCTCCGTTCTTAGAATGCTAGTTTAGAAAACAATACTAGATATTAGGCCCATGGAAATGTGTGGAGAACACCCTTGCAATTCGGGATGCACCGATACTTTTTGAGTACCAATGCTGATACTTGGCATTTTCATGAGAACTACCGGGGTTGCAGCGGTTGCAGCTGGGACCTGGCTCTGGCTCTCCACCACTGTCCTGAAATCATTAGTAGAAAAACTGCCACATGACTAAACAAAAATGTATCAGTACTCGTACTTGTAAGTACTTGGGCAAGTGTCAGTACTCACAAAACTGGTATCGGTGCATGCCTTTATTTATATTTATAAAAACAAAATCATACGTTAAAACAGCTGTACAAATCCCAGGAGCTCCGTGTGCTCCTTACAAATGACAGCTGCCTCCTAACTTTTGAATGTTTGCAGAGGTACCATTGTTTGCATCTAATTTAATTTCAGAGAAGACCCTTTTGCGTCTTCTCAAATACCCAGATGTGGTGCAGGAGCTTCATTATGATGATGATAACAAGAAGGCAGCAGACCACTACCTGTACCAGTGCAACAAGATAGCCGACTACTTTATCCTCATCTTGCAGGTATGTTGAATAACAGAGCCTAGGTGAACTGGGATCACCCCATTGTTTGGGTATGGCTTTGGAATACAAGCTTATAAATTATCAGCTGAATTCTACATGGTGATGTAATATAGAGCACTGCAACTTAAATCTGTTCACTATCTTTGTTCAGGGGAAAGTTGAAGTAGAGGCTGGCAAGGAGAATATGAAATTTGAGTCTGGCGCCTTCTCCTATTACGGTGTCATGGCTTTGAGTGCACCTTCAGCAAATGGTGAGTATTTAAAAAAAAAAATATCTTTCTTTATATCTTTATAAATATCTACTTGTCAAGACAACACACACATGGATCCGTGGTATAAAAGTCTGCAAAAGACCAATTCTCCAGACAACTTTGTACTTTTATGCTCCCAGCGCATGAGAGAAAAGGAATGGAAGTTATTGATTTCTGTTGGCAATACAAACCATTCTTCTTTCTGGAGCTTTATTCCATGGCCCATTATTATTTCTCCGTTCTTAGAATGCTAGTTTAGAAAACAATACTAGATATTAGGCCCATGGAAATGTGTGGAGAACACCCTTGCAATTCGGGATGCACCGATACTTTTTGAGTACCAATGCTGATACTTGGCATTTTCATGAGAACTACCGGGGTTGCAGCGGTTGCAGCTGGGACCTGGCTCTGGCTCTCCACCACTGTCCTGAAATCATTAGTAGAAAAACTGCCACATGACTAAACAAAAATGTATCAGTACTCGTACTTGTAAGTACTTGGGCAAGTGTCAGTACTCACAAAACTGGTATCGGTGCATGCCTTTATTTATATTTATAAAAACAAAATCATACGTTAAAACAGCTGTACAAATCCCAGGAGCTCCGTGTGCTCCTTACAAATGACAGCTGCCTCCTAACTTTTGAATGTTTCTCTAGTCTAGTCTTGGAGCTCAAAAAGTATCGGTACATTTACTTGTACTTGTACCGAGTACTGTACTTGGTATCGGTGCATCCCTACTTGCAATGATGGGAACTAAGGTAGCTGTATCTGTCATTGCATGTCTTTGAGTAATGTCTGTTTGTGTTGCCAATAGCTGTGCAAAATGGGAGACTGATAGATAATCTAGTTGTTCTCAACAACAGGGGGAGCTCTTTAAGAGATTAATAAAGGAGGCCTACTGTGCTTTCTCACATCTAGCAGTGCCTACGACCGGGTGAAACGACAAACTGTGGGTAGGCAAACTGTGGTGAAGCGACAAATCTCATCATGCCTCTGTGTCTGTCAGCCTTGGAATGCATCATGGGACTTGTAGTTCCACAACAGCTGGAGTGCCAAGGTTGCCTATCCTTGGCCTACGGTATCAAAGGAATGCAAATCCAAGTACTGCTTCCTCCTCATTTCCCCGTGTTTTATCTTTCCACCTTCTGCTAGCTCCTGCCCGTCTTCCCTGTCTTCCCCGTCTTCCCCTTAAAAGGGGGTCTCTGTTTTCAAGGCTAGCAGGTAATAATCTACATGCATGGATAATGTGTGCACGCCATTTACACACACGTCTGAAGTGACTTTTGGGTGGTGTGTAATACATGGCAATCTTATATCTGCTTTCTGCACATTTCTGTACTGGAGAATAGGAGTGTGTGAAATTGCTGAGGTGCATGCATGTTTATATGCAAGGTGTGTTTTATCACATGAACCTAACAAACTGGGAGATGGATTCAGTCTCTGTAAAGTTCTCCTTATCACTAATCCTGAGGGCATTAATATTGCATGAGTGTTTACTACAAAGGTTTTTGCTAACCCATAACTAATGATTTGGCCCACTGTGTGCATATTATATTAGAGGTGCACCGTAATGGAATTTGTCAGGCCAAAACCCCAAATTATTATTTTTTCTAACCTTTGTAAAAAAAAATAATTTAATTTATTTGTATTTATTAATTTTTTTACTTTACTGTCGGGGGTTCTGGGGAAATAGCAGAGGTCTAAACAGACCCCCTGATTTTTCCCTTTTGAAATTGAAAAGTGATTAAGGACACAGGGTCCTCAATCTCTTTTTCTGCAGCCCCTGTTATGAATGAACAGGAAGCCTCTCTTCTGAATGCTCCTGTTCATTCATGTGACAATAGTATGAGTTACTATGTCCACAATCATGAATGAATAGGAAGTGATGTAGAGCACTTCTGTTCATTTATAATTGGGGACACAGTAAACCTACTCTGTCCTCAATTATTTACAAACACTCAGCTGATCGCTGAGCGCTTGTAACCAGCTCTCCATCCTGACTCACTGTCACAGGAGGATGAGAAGGCATTGCAGGAAGAACGCAGCCTCCTGTGAGAGCTGACAGCTGTCTCCTCCCCGTACCGCTCTACATCCTGTTCTGGAGGAGGCAGAGTGGGGCGTTGCGCGAGGAGAGCTTGGCCTCCTGTGACACCGCTGACATCGCTCTCCTCCCCGCCCCCTGTAAGTTTCTCTCCTCCCTGCTGGATGCTGCTCTGTGTCAGGGGGGACACAGAGCAGCGGCCAGCAGGGAGGAGAGAAACTATGTATGCACTGCATTTTTGGCCAAATTAATGGTACTTTCAGCATTTTGCCCAAAGTAACATTTTTGGCCAAAATCTTGCGGCAGCTGAAATTTCGGTGCATCCCTAATATATTTATTTGCAATAGCTGTTTTTTTAATTACTTTTTAGACACTGGCTGCCAGATGGCCATCAGATCATACTGGCAGACTATATGGCAGAACAGCTTACATTTGTACGCTGCAACAGCAGACTAAAGCTGGCTGTACACCAGTAGAATTTCCTTTTAAATAAATTTGTTTTTGGAACGAACGTTCTATTTTCTCTATTAGGTAATGGGATCAAATCAACGATTTCTTTTGTCCGTTGTGACAAAAAAAATAGAAGGAGCGGGATAGAAAATATTTCCGGAGAACAACCGAAATTCAACATTTGAATGTAGTTTTTGTTTGAGAAACTCCATTAATTTCAAAATCGAATTTTAAAATCAAATGGAATTTCGAAGGACATTCATCAAGTCTCTGATGGCATTAAGGAATGTTCTGACGAGATTTTTCCTATAAACGTTCGTATGAAATATGTATGGCCAGCTTAATGTCCATGTCACATTGGCAATTTGGCAGCAGCTACCAAATTGCTTTCCTTTGCGCTTTTGTTGCTTAGAAAAAAATCAATGGAAGTTGATGAAAGGTCTGTGAAGATAGAGAACTGACACCGCTACTGAGGTCCCACTAACGCATTTTTTTAAGAAACTCATTAAAGAGCCTCTTGAGCCTATGCAGTGTGCCTGTAGTGCACCTTAACAATAAATGTATTGATGCTTGGGACTATTCGGAGTGCAGCTGCATTTTTGACCACTTCAGGACTGCAGTATGTATATAAACAGCGGAGTCCTGAAGTGGTTACAACAAGATCACAGCTGCTGCGCCGTTTTCTTTTACAGCTGGCACCTGGCTTTCACATACAAGGGTTTGGGCAGCTATACAGCAAAAGGGTGGCTACTTTTTTTCCCCATGGACCTTTTATGCTTGTAGCAGTGTAAAGTAGCCACCGCTCCAAGCTCACTCCCACCATGGACTACAATCTCAATACAAATTCGTAAACTAAATGTGAGATTGTAGTCCATCACAGGAGCGAGCAGTATTAAACTCCCAAACATTTTTCAATAATGAATCCAGATCAAACAAATATACATTGTCCAGCAAAGTGTCTCTTTACATTTTTACCCAAGCACTTGGTCATCATGTTTTCCAACACCTCAAACTCTCTCAGCTCGGCTCCCCTGAATGTCCTTTCCAGTATATCATCACAAGGGACAGAGCAGTCTCTAGCAGCTGTCCATCTGCTAGCTTGGAGAAAGAAGCAAGGAACAGGAGAGTGGATTGCCTTGCTGTGTTTGGATATACACAGAGCTTACTAGCACACAAGAGTTCATTGGACCCATTCAAAGGGAAAGGAGCCACCCCAAAACAGGATATCGGGACCAGGGCTCAGGAGACTAGCTGATTCTGCAAGAAACTAACAGGGCTATTCACAAAAGGTTGAAGAGTTAGGAGAAGTGAACAATCTAGGACAACATAGCTGAACTGGAAAGTGAGCGGAGTTGGAGATTTTTTTCTAAATCAGCTATGTTGTCCTAGATTGTTCACTTCTCCTGCCTTCTCCAAACTCTTCACCCTTTTGTGAATAACCCTGTAAAACTTACAATGGTGCTGATTTATGATAATGTTTATAAGTGATTTAATCTGCATTTGAAATAGCTTAAACACCTTTTGACTTCATTTTAAGCACATGTGTAGCTGAAGATGCTGTAGGTGGGGTCTGCAACAGTTTAGCCATTTTCAGTGAGACAGTAGACCCACCTTCCCCATCTACTGCTCATCAGTGCTCCCTACCCATGTACCCACAACAAGCAAACACTGCACTGGAACAGTGTCGTAGATATCTGTCTCGCTGTAGTGTGACAAATTGCGGAACTTGCAGAAGATTCTTGATTGCGTCAATAAGGTGTATATAAATCTGTTGCAACTCTTACAGAACTGTCCCAAGCATCTCTTCTGTGAAGCAGCAAAGTTTTTCAGGCACAGAAGCTATTTTGGAGAAGTTGGGCGAGTAATGCAAACGTATAAAATATCAGTTTTAGAGGAAGTTAAATAAAAATATTGTTGCAGCTGTGGCGCAATAATTACATGTGCTGCAATCGCCTATTTACTCCAATGTAGAAGAGGTCTTATTTACCTGCACTTTCCTTATCAATGGTTTGGTGATATTTATGAATTTGTTGCAACAGTAGCATTATATGGTAAAGGTAAAGGTGTGGCAAATGAGAATTTATTGCATGCGTCGGTACTCACAGAAAATGTTGCAGGGTTTTCATGAGTTTAGTGCAAGGCTTCCAACCACATACACACCGCTAAGAATGCCTCCATTGAATCCCCCCCCCCCACACACTTTATGTTTTACTTTAATGCTGCAGAGCCTGTGAATAGGCAGTCAGTGTTCTAAATTCATGTTTGTTCTTCATTGAGATCTTTTCAGGACTTTTAGGCGGGGGATGTACACGTCCATGCGGCATGCGAGCTAGTAAATGGGCCGATCCTGGGAGGGACAGGTGCTGCATGTAATTGCATGCAGCATCCTGTTCTTCCCTATGGGAGTACGCGGCTGTATGCTGTCATCCGCACACCCGTACGTGCAAATCCATGCGGGTCTAGGTGTCTGCACTGGGATGCACACTGTCTGCGTCCACCCTCCAGAAGGAAGGGCAGTGTCGGCACCAATTCAGAGATGATTTGGGGATCTGCCGACGAGTGATACACAAATAAGATATGTTTATTTTATTAACTAAGGAACTTGAATACATTTTTAAGATTTAACCCCTGAGTTTAGTGTCACGTTAACGACCTTTGCATCAGGCTCGGTTTCTCTTTTACGTTTATTGGGGAGAAGGAGCCCTCTGGGGTGTTGCTTCTTCCTCCTATAGAATTTGGACACAATGGAAAAACTTTGTTCCTGAGCAATCCAAGATCTGCTTGGTTTTTAAGGCAGAAAAATCTATTTTTCTTATTGGTTTACTAAATGATTGTCATTTGACTCTATTAGCCAGGTACCAAACGCTAAAGCAGAGCAGGAGTTTGTGTGTTGCCCATAGCAGTCCAGCAGGTGTTAATCCAAAATTACTGCTGGAATCTAATTGCTTTGGACAATGATGATACTTATCTTGCAACAGTTTTTAAGTCAGCATTATTGTCTTACGTATGAACAATGTTTTCTTCTGTCCTCTAATTCTACTTTAGAGCTCCGTTCCCCATCTCACATGGGCAGCCTGAACAGATCTAGATCCCTCAGCCATGAACGTTCCGACTCCTTATCATCCACCATCAGTGGCAGCAACACACAGCTCAGCACTCAAGCACAATACACGGCAGACTTCAGTGTGCGAGCTCTTAGTGACCTACAGTTTGTAAAGGTAAGGTGTGTGTGCGTGTGCGCATAAATATATAAATGGCTCTCCACACAAATTTAAGGAACAAGATATACTTGCTCTCCAGTATTACCATTTTTTAAAATATATTTTTGGGGGTAGCATTGGCTCCTTTGTTGACAGAGGGTGAACAGTCTTAGTCTGACCGCCCTCAGGGCAACAAATCCTTAGAATGTTGCAGAGTGTTCTATAAACTGGCTCTGCCACCCTAGCAAGTTAAAGTAGTGGGAAGGAGGGAGAAAGCAATGAAGACAGAAGTTGATGGCACTACTTATGGAATAACAGTAGTGATCGGGGCAGGTTTTCAATTGATGTCACCTTGTAGAGCTCTAGGCCGGTGGATTTCTGACTATGCTCATGACTGTAAATGGAAGCGACTGTCCTCAAGTCTTAAGGCTGCTTCACAATGCAGAACATTTGTTTATGACCTTGTTTAAATACCTGCATGATTACTGGCACTCTGACATATGATCTCGAGCAACCATCCAGCTTGAACTGCTCTATAATAGTCTGGAGCTGTAGGAACGAGAATGCGCGGGCATTGTGTAACTGGTTGGACTGGTGTAAAGTGATTGTTGTCAGGCTGCTGTTCTGATATTGTGACACATAGTAATTCCAGCCATGAATGACCTCTACTATAAGAAGCAAAGACAAATGTTCTTTGGGCATGTATAATCTACATGGGGGTGCAAGTCATTTTAGTCACTGACTTGACTGAAAAATGTGATGTATTTGAACATTTTTATTTTGACGAAAAGGCCTTTTACACACACTTTTTTCTGTTATTCATTCATGACTGTGCTTCCTGTGTTTGCCAAAGGGAGAACCACGCTCGCTTATTAGGCCAAGCTCCAGTGACCAGCAAGGTTTATTCATGGCTTTAGGAAATGCCCTTATGCAATATGGGACAGATTTCAGAAAATTGGAACAAAAGAGCTAGTCATAGAGACCAAATTCCCCCTTTTTTTGTTTTTTTAAAGACGAAATCTGAATAGCTCTTATAGGTGATGGTTCTACTTCCCCTGAAAGTTTCATAAATCATTACCTGCACCTTTTACATGCTGTGTGCTTTAAGTCTTTAGAACAAAATATGGAATCTGATAGGTTAGTTTGTGCCATATACAATCTGAACAGTCTGTTTTGGAACTCAAAAACCCTAGCAGGTGCACAATGCACCCGCCACTGAAACCTTAACATTTCCATGCCAGTTCCATGGTCGCCACTTTCCAAGATGAAGGGAGCCATTGAAGATGTGCAGATGCGTTAAAGTTTTTTTCCTTACTGTAGCACAATGAAACCATACTTGACTTGGCTCTCGTGTGCAGAATCATTTTGTTTACTTCTTTGGCCCCTTTCATGCGGATGGTGTCCGTTCCAGCAAGATGGGAAATCCGTGAAGAGATGCCCTGCTGAATCTGAGCACAATAGAACCAATGTCACTTTTGCTGCATCCATGCCTGTTCAGTTTTTTTTACTTTTATCACAACAAACTGAACTAAAAGGACCCATGCTAGGTCTATGAGCAGTCAGATGTAAGCGGACACACTGTACATCCAGATGGCTACATATTAGTCACGTTTAGATCGCAAAAAAATGGAGGACACAAACCTTTTCAGAATTGGAGTCTGAGGTGATCACATGTCGGTTTACATCCAGCTGCCCTTAGGGTTACGTTGTTTTCCAATCAGCTGCGCCAGAAAAAATGACGGGCTGATCTGATCAGACCACCCTTGTGAAAGGGGCCTACAGCTTGAACATCAGGAGCACACATCTAGTCACACATTTTGGTCATTCTCTACAAGGGCATTCTTAAACAGACTTTCTGTCCTGGCAGCCCATGCAATACTTTCCATATCAATTCTTGTTGTAGTGTCATAAGAGTATAAGAAAGGCTTGCCATCATCTGTGCCCTGTTCATGTGTAATGTCTTGTTAATGTCCTTCTCATCAGTAATGTCAGAACCAGTTGCACCTACTCGGTGGTAAAAATTGGTGGCAGGGCTACTTGTTCTTCTACTTGCTACCATTTTTGTGTCTGCACTATGGGTGTGGCAAGCTGCTATGTTGCGCGAGCGGTGCCAATACAATAACCTATAATCCCTGATACTTCCTGGTACAATTTGATCATGGGCACTTACAATTGGTTTTATTAAATGATAACGTTTTGCTTGGAATTTCACATTTATTTGTCAGAATTAGGAAAATAAAACGTGTGCCAATGTAAATCAAGCCAAAATATTTAAACGACGCTGGAACTGATGGTGTCAGGTTATAGAAGTTCTGTGTTAAGTAACAGTGGAGATGGGTCCTGCAGAAATCTTTACACACCTAATCATCATTTGCATTGAAAATAAGTAAACACTATAACCAAATTTTAGAAAAACTACAATCCTTTCTGTAAAACAAAAAGTACTTTTTGTGCTGTGTCTATGCCCCAAAGTGGCATGACCCATAAGGATTGCCATTGCTTGGATGCCACCAAGGGTTACGTAGTGTTGTGTGCCTTGTGTTCAGAAGATGCCCTATAGACGCACATAAAAATGGAGAGCTTGGCCCATGTTCCTGACACACGGGGATACTAATTGGCTTAATGTGCATCTTGGCTGCATTTAACTTTGCAGTTTGATTCCTTAGCATTGCTCTCCCTGGGCCATCCAAGGAGAGTGAAGGAGCTAATGCCACAGGAGCCAAATATGCTTTTGTATCCATAAAATGGATGTACAAGCCCAAAAAGAAACCTCTAGTGAGAGAAATAGTAGAGTCTGACCCCCTAAGTATCCTAGCTGCATTGATTGGTTTGGCTGCTTAAATTGCTGATCCAGAATGGACATGCAGGTTAGACATACACTTAGGGCATGGTTGGACAAATCCCAGGAGTCAGGTAGCCAATGCTCCCTTAAAATGTACAACTTACGCCTAGTTGTCAATGTAACTGGCTCCTAAAAAGAAACCCTGCTGGCGCCTGCATTGGACAGACTGAATTCCATATTATTTGTCCTCCCCAGGCATAGTGTGAAGGCAGTACACTTGATCTGCATGCTTATCAAGGTCAGAAAGTATTGAAGCCAGGCAACTAGCATTTGTGGAAGAGTTCACTAATGGAAGCCCCCATATTTTTCCATTATAGGTTTCTAGTCATTAAATAAAGTATTGAGGACCAGATTTTGGGAGTTTTTAGTAAAAACAGGTTTTGGGGTGGCAATGCTGAGACCGATACAAGTGAAATATGTGAACATTGCTTGCAGTGTTGGACTGTGTAGGGGTTTAATCAGCAAGTGGAATAGCACTTGTTTTTGTGCGCGGTGATCTTCCAGCACTTTGCCCTGCTCAAAAAACTGTTCAAGCAAATACTGATCAAATATTTCCCTGCAGACCAGATCCATTTTCTTGGCCAAGTCATTGAGAAAGGTTTGAGCAGAATGTCTGTGGCTGTAGAAGAGTGTGACCGATAGGATATGAGAGCATGTCAAAGCGCTCTTGTTGATAAACTACTCTAATTTCCTTTTCCTGAGATCCAAGCAGCAGTCTTTAGCAGTACAATATCTGTGATTTAGTATTCTGATTCAAAGGCAGATTCCACCTTTTAGAAAAAAAATAATAAATACACTTCACTAAAAACAATCTGCATTCATTCTTTTCTTGCATTGGAGCCAGTAGAGCATTGCAACTGCGATCAGTGGATGTCTGGTGCAATGCTGTGGCTTCTGCAGATTCTGCATTCTGTACCGACATTCAGGAACCTGGATGGGAGGAATGGGATGAATGGACTACAAGTGCGGTGATGTCACGGCACTTATAATCAGTTGAGAAGTACAAGCCCCTCTGCCGCAGTGGCTGATGTAATTTGCAGTTTCTTCATTCACCGATCATATCCAAGGATCTGTGAATGGATAATGCGGCTGGATCAGCAGTGCAAAAAAACAAACTGACTCGCTCTGATGACAATCCAAGCTGATGGTCCCTCATCCCTACCCCTAGAGCACTTGTGAGGTGGGGCCTGCAACTCGTGGCTACATAGCAGGCCTACGCCAACTAGGTAACCAGCCTAGACTTCACCCGATTATTATGTGCCATTTGCTCAGATTTTGTGCCACGGTCTGAAATTGGCTGTAATGTTCCATGCTGTATCCCGCTGGGGAAATCCGACTCCCTACCCCCTTTCTTCTTCTTGTTACTTTTCTATGGTTATTACCAACGTGTACAACTCGGCAGGGGCCGCCCCTAGGCTGTAATTGGTCTTTAGTTTTTTTGTGCCTAGCGTCCTTCTCCTGCAGGTGGCGATATTACCCTACAGTACATGATCTCCGATCTGTTCCCTGTGTCCTTCAATGAACGGAGAGAAAAGGATTTTACGGTGAGTACCAAAATCCTATTTATTTTTTTTTTATTACTTTTCATTGATTTGTCCTGAAAATGTTAATGATAATAAAATTCAGACTGCACTAAAAAAAATGCCAACCTGCAGGGAGAAGAACTCCATGATTTAGGTAAGGAGAGATAGGTGTGCGATCTGACCATGTTTTATGTTACACCCTGAATATGGATGAAACATGGTCAGAAAAGTGAACAACCTTTAAGTTAGAGAGTACAATTCTGTCCTACATTTGAGAAATACCCCATTTCTTTTTTTTAATGAAAGTTATCATCTAAATACACAGAGTGCTTCCATAAGACAGCTGTACAGAAATACACTGCCTGGCCAAGAAAAGTCACACTCTAATATTTCATTGGACCACCTTTAGCTTTTATTACGGCATGCTTTCGCCGTGGCATTTCGAAGAGCTTATGCAAAGTCACAACGTTTATCACGGCCAGGTCACTATCTGCAAGGAGTTTGCATGTTCTCCCTGTGGTTGCATGGGTTTCCTCCGGGTACTCCGGTTTCCTCCCACACTCCAAAGACATGCCAGTAGGTTAATTGGCTCCTCTCTAAGTTGGCCTTCTATGTATGTATGTATGTGATATAGGTGTGACGACATGGTGATCAGTTTGAGTTAAATGTGTATTGGTGTTGGGTTATGTGTAAGTGGGTTATACTGAGTAAACTGTTTAGGAAAAGACTGTCAGCACCAGCCCTCGTTATCTCCCATTGTATTCTGAAGGAGCTCAGAACAATGACATTCTGGCCAGGCTCCTGCTATGGCAGGTGGACCCCTGTGGTGTTGTGAAGACAGAAGGTTTGGGGAGGGGAAGGGGGGATGTGATGGGATTATAATCTGATCTGATCACTTGCTGTATAAAAGGTTGCACAGTTGCTCAATAAATCAGAGTTTGTTTCACCCTACACTTGGTCCGACCAGTGACTGGGGAAACTGGGAGCTAAAGGTCAGCGGTTTGCAATATCTCCTGAGCAAGGAAGAATACAGCGGCGGACATACTCATCCTGAGTACTGGAGTCCGTCACAATAGGGACCTTAGATTGTAAGCTCCTTGGGGACAAGGACTGGTGTGAATGTGCATATATGTAAAGTGCTGTGTAAATTGTCGGCGCTATATAAATACCTGAAATAAACTGAATTGGCGAAAATAAATTCAAAGCAGCAGTATGGAAATGTTTTGCCAACCAAAATTGTTACAGCGAATGTAGTTTTTGATTGCGGAACTACATTTATTTCCAAAATAGAATTTTAAGATTAAACAAAAATTTGCAGGTCTCTGATGGCGTTATTAAATGTTCTGATGAGATGTGTCTTATGAACGTTTAAACAAAAATCTAGTCTATGGCCAGCTTTAGTTCCTTCCACTGGAGCAGCTTCTGGTGTCCTCAGTAACTTTGCGTTTGGAAATGACCAGGAATGTGATTTGAGGTCATAATGTTGATAATCTATAAATACCATATTGGTTGATGTGTAATTGTTACACACTATAGTTATATCATTTTATCTTATATGAGGTCATAATTAGGGATGTACCGATACTAGTATCGATATCGGTGCCGATTGCGAGTCTTTGGGCAAGTACTCGTACTCGCCCAAATGCTCCGATGCCTAGCACGAGTACTTCCGGTATCGGGAAGCCGGGCAGCGCGTCATTACACACTGCCCGGTTTTGCGATTGACCGGGAAGCGGCTCCATGCTCTCTCGTCACTTGTGACGAGAGATCATGGAGCCGACTTCCTGGCCAATCAGGAAGCCGGGCAGTGTGTAATGACGCACTGCCTGGCTTCCTGATTGGTCGGGAATCTGGCCAATCAGGAAGCTGGCCTCGTGAGGTAAGGTTACCTTACCTTTAGTATGTGCAGCCTGTCACCCCCGGGGCCTCTCCAGCGAGAATGCGGCCTTCGTCCGGTACCCAGCCGGAGCCGTCCAATCACGGCACCGTCTAATGACGCGACGCCCTGCTTTCTGATTGGCCGGGAAGCTGGCTTCATTCATGCTCCCTCGTCATCTCATGACAAGAGAGCATGGAGCCGGCCTCCCGGCCAATCAGAAAGCAGGGCGGTGCGTCATTACACGTCGTCCGGCTTCCTGATTGCCCGGCCACACGGCTCCGGCTGGGTACCGGACGAAGGCCGCGTTCTCGCTGGAGAGGCCCCGGGGGTGACAGGCTGCACATACTAAGGTAAGAGGGGACTTTCTAGTTAATCGGGAAGCCAGGTGGCGACTCTTTACACGCTGCTCGGCTAATCAGGAAGCCAGGTGGCGAGTCATTACACGCCACCTGGCTTCCTGGATGGGACTTCCGGTAATTGGTATCGGCGAGAACCGAAAAAAAATACTCGGTACCAAAATACCGGTATCGGTGCATCCCTAGTCATAATGTTGTTGTATCACTGATGCAGATGACCATTACATTTTTTTAATGTTTTTTGTTATAAATAGTTGCATAAAAATTTTGGGATTGGTTATTTATTACTGATGAGTACAGTATGTCAGAAGCCTTACTGATATTGTCATTTCTATTCAGATCACACGGGAACAGTATCAAGGGGCCCTGATCTCCTCCCGGATGGATAGTAGCCCGCAGTCTCCAGAAGGTGGAACCCACAAGCTGGAGACCACCATATCTGAGCGCAGTGAAGTTGTGGAAGATGAAACGACCAGTCTTTTAAATGAGAGGAACTCGCAACACAGTTTGCACCACAATGCCGTCTGACACCAACCCCGATGCTAAGCATAGATCTGCATGTACGTTACCTGTGGATCGGCCTAGAAAAACACTTTGCAATATCTGACTGGGCACATAGTGCCAGTGCACTGCATGCAAAGCTTTATCCTAAGAGACAAAGACAGAGCTTCCAAAAGCTTGCAGAGCTGCACTGCACATGTCTGGAAAGAGAGAGATTCCTATTGGGGTGTTCATAATAATCTGCAGCTCATCAGTGGCCTGCGGTGAAGGCGGTGTTCTACAGCTCTGGCCTTGTCTGGAGAAGAACACAAGAATACCAAAGGGGGATCTGGAAAATCTGCAATACTTTTGGGAATGATATGATGCTGTGTAGAGCATCAACTCAGGGAAGGAATTCTATATGTGCACTGGAGACCCCTGCCTCAAAGGGGGGATCTATTTGTCTGTCTTCCAGGGGAATGGGTTGATAGAAAAAGCAGTTCCGCTTTATTGACCATTGTCTGTTGCTAGTAGGGCCCTCCAAAGGTATTTGCCTTGAATAGTTCTGGCCCTGTCGAAAAAAAATTAGGCATGTATTTTGTTAGATATTCTTCTCTCTGTGATAGGACCTATTCTGATACTGATGATTGCTCAGTACTCCAATTGGGACTTGGTGGTGACCAATGATATCTAAGCAATCAAACTGGTTACATAGCAGTGTCACAGACTGAACCAATAGTAACAATCCGTTTCCCATCAGTGTTTTCTTTCAGAGATGAGCAGACTCTTGCTGAATCTTAGCAGTATGTATCAGTAACAAAAGCTTTTATTGATCCCAAGTATTTTTTCATGTTCTCGTGATGAGCAATTGAGGAACAACAATGGGACATCTATATTACGGTTATGGAATCTTGTCTGTGCTGGCCACTGCTGATGTTGCAGTCGGAAGGCTTTATCCATACTGCCTTATTCAATAAATAGCACAGGATAGATTCTTTTAGCATAACTAAAGGCAAAAAATTTTTACGTTTTGGATAGAGGGGAGAGGGATTAGAACCCTTATATATAAAGCTGCTCTCCGGACCATATTTGACCTTCAGATAATAGATGGGTGCTTGAAGTGATGGCACTGAATTGCGCTGCTCCAAAACCAGATAAAAGGATATGAAATCACTAGCACTGCAGACATGTAACTACATCTAACAATTTATTGGGATTGCCTTACAGACCTCTATACCGACGTTGCAGGACCTCACAGGGTCTTTTTCTTGGGGCAACATAGAGTTCCTTATGACTTGCCTTTTAAGAAAGGGACCCTGCGAGGCCCCAAAACATTGAGATATTCGTCTGATGCAGTTCTTCACAATAAATTTGTTGGACGCAATGTCTGATGATTCTGCATCCCTTGTTTGGGTTTTTATTGCTGTTTGTATGTCCCCGTCAGGGGGAATTCACCCTCCCCGTTTGTCCTGGTGACCGTTATTAGTGAAAGTGAAAGAAAATCAAAACATTTTGAGTTGTTACCAGTACAGAAAGAGTAGAGAAATATTTTAATGGGGACAACCAGGGATTTCCCTCACTCACTGTTGTGGTTGTGGGACAGGAAGTGAAGAATGAGGGAAATCCCTAGCTGTCATCCGGACTAGTGTCCCCATTGTAAGATTTCTTCCATTGGGGAAGAGCGCAAACACTGACCAGGAGGAAACGCATCCTTCCTCTATCCAACATAAAAATAAATACAATATTTTGGCTTAAGTTTAGCTTTTAGGTGCAGTAACCCATAGCATCCAATTAAAACTGACTCTGCTAAAGTCAAAGCAGTATGGGACTGGTTGCTGTGGGTTACGGCAATACATTAGCACTCAATAACAAGCATTTATTGAATAAGGATAATCTTGTCTTTGATAATGTTTCACACTGTATTTTTCTATTCATATTTGTTTACATGGCACAGTTTCGTTTGGCTAATTCTGTACACTCCTTGGACATGTTACATTGGTAAAGTGTGAGCCCTGTGCCCAATCACAATCATTCTTAAATGCCAAACTCCAGGCAAACTCGTTATGTACACAGTTGTAGCACATATATGTGAGCGGTTTTTACTTCCCAGATTTGAAATTCTGTTCTGCTTTTGTAATGGGACACCCCTGATAGACAGAACGGCCAGGTTCCGGATTTTCTTGCAGACTAGACTGCATTTAAGCAATACAACTTGAGTCCAGGACTTGCTCCAGCCTGTGCCTGGACAAGGTACAGTAGGAGCAGCACACTGACTCTTGTAAGTGGACTGACAGAACTGTGCAAAGCAATGGAGCCCTGACTGGCTCCGAGAGTTGACCCTCCATTTCCCTGTCCGAGTGCTGCTGTGCAAAAGATTACAGGAGACACGTGTAGAGAGACTGAAGTGCTTGTACTAGTTTTGCCTGAATTTCCACATTTATTTGTATTGACACAGCAGTGCGACCTATGGCCCTATTTATACTTGTCCATTTTCATTCAGTAGCACCGTTGCATTATGCTGCATGACAATGAATTACAAGTAGAAATCCTATTCTTTCCTATGTGGCTGGTTCAGGTCTATGCTCTGCAGTTGGCTATGATGGGGAAATGGAAATTATATGGGCCTATTCACACTTGTCCATTTTCATACAGTAGCACCCATGCATTTTGTTGCTTGACAATGCATTACAAGTTGAAATCCCATTCTTTCCTATGTGGCTGGTTCGGGTCTATGCTCTGCAGTTGGTTTATGAGAGGGAAAAGGAAATTATATGGGCCCATTCACACATGCATATGGAACAGTGTGAATCCAGCCTAAATGTTTGAACTTGCAAACCTTCAATTTGCATTTCTTGGCCTCTTGGTGTAATGTGCAAAAGTCACTGGAGAAAATGGTGGTTCTGTATGGTAAATGCAGGATTCTACACTTAGAGACACTTTTCTCCATGGAAAATGCCGCTAATATACGCAAATGCCTAAGCTGCAGCCAAAGTGTCATTTGAGTATCTATGTAAGTGTAGGTGACCATTTACTACATGGAAGAAGCTTTCAGGCATTATACCCAGAATAGCGCTACATGTAGGAAACATGGAGCCCATTATCGGAGTCTTGAAAATAAGCCCTTGTATAGGTTTCCAAGCAAAATGTGACATTCAGCACTTTTTTGCAAATGTGCTGCCAATTTTTACGCTAGACAGATTGCGTACTGGAAAGGTGCTGTTTGCGCAATCTTCTCCCTTGTAACTCTCACATATATCTCTGTCTTCCTGTGCTCTTCTATAGGACTGCATCACCTAAATACCTTCCTACCTTCCTTATTTTGATTTTGTATCACACCCCTTCTTTGCTGAGAGCAGTTGTGAATATTGCTACTTCAGTAGTTTTTGCACTTGACGTAGTCTGCACCTCATGCCAGACCCACACATGACGTTCCCTGTAATTTGTGACAAGCCAAAAATTACTAATTAGAAATTTATAGTACAGATATTCATTTTAAAAGACATTTTCAAATCCATTTGCTTCCAGGCTGGTGTATTAGCTCAGTCTGATTGTATAATACAGACATACCTTTATTTTAAGTGGAATGGAGTTGTATACACAGATCATTTTTTTTTTTTTTTCAATGCCTTTTTGGTAAATTTGTGTGCCCGTCACAGTAGGTTAACCATTGGAACTTCTGTGGGCAAATATTCTGTAATTATAGCTTGGGATGCACCGATCCTGTTTTTTTGGTACCGAGTACCAATATTTATATTTCGGTACTCGCCGATGTCTAGTACCAATACCAGTACTTCCACTGGCTTGGAGCCGGCTTCCCGGGCAATCACGAAGACGGGCGGCATCTCATTACCGGCCGCCCGGCTTCTTGATTGCCTGGGAAGCTGACTCCATGCTGTTTGGCCGGCTCAATGCTGATTTGGCCGGGAAGCTGGCTTCCCAGCCAAGCGGCATTGAGCAACCTTCCCAGCCAATCAACATTGAGCTGGACAAACAACATGGAGTCAGTTTCCCGGCCTATCGGGAAGCCGAGCGGCAAGTCATTACCTGCCTCCTGGCTTCCTGATTGGCCGGGAAGGTATTGGAGCATTTGGGCAAGTACTTGATAGTGTCAGTGCATCCCTAATTTATAGCACAAATTGGCTTTTTCAAGCAATATTTTAGTATTGAACAATTCTATTTATATCCAGTCCTCTGTATCCATAGAATCACTTTATAGTAATAACATGATTCCTGCTTCTAAATAGTGATGAGCTGGGTCTTGGGGGGAACTGGGTTCACCCCAAGCCCCAATCTATTGCAGCAGGCACATTCCCTGCCCTGCACCTACACGTCACAAAGGGGTCGGGGAATGCCACTGCTGCGAACCATTGGTCCGGGAAATGGGGGTGTTGGTCAAGGGTTTGCGTAGACAAACTTAGATGAACTGGGTTTGCACCATGCTCCAGCTCATCACTACTTCTAAAGGTGCCCATACACCAGTAGATTTTCAGTTGAAAAAAATTAGCTTTTGGAACTTTGTTATAGTTAATGGGGTCAAGGTGGCGAAAACTATAGTGACGAAAACAAAATGAGAAGCAGAATTAAAATGTTTTACTCAAACATATACGTTTCTAACAGTGAATTCGTTTTTCATTTGGACGAATGTTAAAATTAAATGTCACCCGTCGTGTCTCTGAACGCATTATCAAATGATGTGACGAGGTTTTTCGCATTAACATTCATACCAAAATCTACCAGTATGTGGCCAGTTTTAGGGTCACAGTCTGGACAGGAAAAAGCTACTATTGCCAGATTCTGAGTAATCATGAGGACATGTCAACAGATTACCACATCTCAGAAAGGCTCTGCTGCTGCATCGGTTCAGTAATCGCATGGAAAACCTGACTAATGCTAATACAGGCAAGCAATGGAAGTGACTCCAGACCTTTTCTAAAGCACTTATAGTGGTGTACCTTAAAGAAAATTATTATCCATACTATGTACAACCCCTTTAAACCTTCCAAGACACCCCCCCACAACGTAGAGGTAGTCCTTTTGGGACCTGGAACGTTGTTCATTAGAATATATATGCCTCTTGCAAATTGGCTGCCTCTAGTGATGAGCTGGGGCTTCGTGTGAATCCAGTTCTCCAGAGATTGCTGATGGCCTGTGCAAAGCTGCGACCGACACAGCCCTTCCAGCCCAATTAGTTGTGGC